AAAATCACTGAGGGGCTCCAAAAGCTGGGCTTTGTGGATGATTATTATTCCAACTATAATAGCTATTCTTGCATTTCTCTTCTAAGAAGAATCGGCTCTGGGTGAAATTGTGAAGGCTCAGTGTGTAGAAATAAGTGTTGTTTGCCATGCTTCTCTCTCCACAAGGATCTTTTATTTCATCTCTCAAGTCAGTATCTTGTTCCACGCTCCTGGCTACCGTGAGATCCACGGAAGCAGAGGTGGGTCTTAATGTCTCTGTATTCCTCAGGTATCTTGGCACAGTGCCTGGCACACAGGAGGGGCCCAGCTAAGGTTTTGAGAATTGAAAAGAGTCTGGATGCAATTTAACGAGAGCTCACTCATCCACCTTTGTAGCTGACATTGTTAGTGTCTGAGAATCTCATTCCCGGCAGCTTCCTGCTGGGACAGGATGGGAACATGGCAGATGTCCCCGGGGAGAGTTCTCTTCTTTGGCCCTTCAACTCCTCAGACTTGAAAGTCTTCCCTCTCGCCTTAGATTCTACATAGCCAAAATCCATCCACAAGTCAAGGTTAATTGCTAATGTTCTCTCTTGCACTTTCTTAATCCTTTTGGTCTGGAATTGCTTTTTTCTTTTCCAACCCCCCAAGGAACTCCATGTGTATGGCACGCATATCCCTTCATTCCTTCTACACATATTACCACACACATGAAGCCAGAGACCTACCACACTGTACGAGACTTTGTAAGTTAACATTTAAGACTTCCTTGAACCCCATGCATGACAAAGGGATGAATGTGAGCTCTCAATACTAACACACTACTGATTTTAAGATGCATCATGGATTGGATGTAGCCTTTTACCAAAAGGAGAAAAGAATTAAAAACAGAAGGAGAACACAAATATGTTACACTATGTTACAGTAACAACAAACGTGATAACTAATGCTTCTAGATAATTCCCCATGTGCCAAACTCAGTGCTCTCCAATGTATTATGTCACTTGATTCTCAACAACACACCCCTACATGGTATAATCTTCTATCCACATTATCCACAAGGTGAAACACGGCTCCAGAAAAGCTCGTGCAGTAAGCAAGTGGTAGAGGTGGGATTTGAACTCAGGCAGTTCAGCTGGGCTCCATAACCGAAAAAGAACTACCTTACGTAATAAGCTGTATGCTTAGTCAAAACGCAGCATACATAGAGAGAAGTGTGTAAATCATTATCTATACCGCTTGGTGAATTTTTATAGGAGAACACACCCGTATAACCACCACCCAGATCAAGAAATCAAACCCTGTCAGTATCACATAAGTTCTTCCCTGTTTCCCACGAATCACTGCCCTCTCTTTCAACAAAAAGTAATCCTTACGATTTCCTCTACCAGCACAGATTCATTTTTACTATTTTTGATCTTCACATACACATAATTTTGTGTGTCTTCTGTGTCTTCTATAACTCCATATTATATTTGTGAGATTCACTGATGGCAATGTGGGTGGTTGGTTTTTGTTGTTGTTGTTGTTGTTAATATTCATCGCTAGTAGTATTCCATGGCATGACTATTTGATTATCTATTTCATTTTTTTAACTGATGGGATTTGTGGTTTTTTTACACCCTTTTAGGCAGGGTGAACGAATGCTGCTATTAGCATTCTTGAATGTATTATTGGTGGTACATACACACACATTTCTGCTAAGTATATTATTAGAAGTAGAATTGATGGATTGCACCATATACTTTAGTAGATTCTGCCCAACAGGTTTACGTACAGGTCATGCTAACTTACATTCCCACTACAAAGGTTTCAGAATCCCAGTTGTTCTAGGTTCTCACAAAAAATTTGTTCTCATCAGTTGTTTTAAACTTAGCCACCCAACTGGGAAGAGCCTGTATGTTTGACCGCTAAATTGCTCTGCCTTCCACAGTGTGAGATTCTGTATTTTCCAAATGACTTGTCCCAAACTAAAACACAACAAAAAAGTCAACAGGCAAAGCATCTTTAAGTTTTCCTTCTGATTCTGCTGTAATGCTTATCTTTTTTCCTTTCTGGCTTGGCTTTTGAACAGCCTTTCCTCTATTCTCCTGGCTGTGATTCTATGGCTTATTATTGGCTATCTATAATTACGATCTATTATTTATTAATTTGTAACATATCATCTGACTGGAACTTGTTAATTCTTTAAACACCCATGATCACTTGCCTGGGCAATGTCATGTCAAACAAGCTTTACTAGTGCAGCTTGGAGAACTCAACCTACATAGTGCGGATTCTTTTGATGGTGATGACTGCCATCTTTTATCCACCCTTGCAGGGAAACCAATGGGCACTGGTGGGAGGTATGCTGAAGGTAAGACTTAAAAGGCTGTCTGCTATTTCTCCAAGACCAGACAAATCATGAGGGCACCTCTGAGGAGGATAATAACCTAATGCCCTAACCAAACCAAATATTCTTCAAATATTTGTGTAACTTTTCTTTAAAGGAGAACCTCAGTGGTTTGTGAAGGAAGGGTTGAGAAGGAGTTTCCATAGCTACAGAACACCATCCCCTCCTCCCATCCTGAGCAGTTCTGTTCTGGCCCCAACTTGGTGTAAGTGTGTGTGCCATGTAAACAGGCACAGCCTTCTTAGCAGGAGGTGAGGAAAAACATCTCCTTGTTATTGACTCATGCCCCCTGAAGGTCTCACCTTTTTCAACTTACCGCACTATCCCTTCTAACCACATATAATACTCTTTCTGAAATGTATGCTAGTACTTATACTTTTTCTTTTCTTTTATTTCTTTCTTTCTTTTCTTTTCTTTTCTTTTCTTTTCTTTTCTTTTCTTTTCTTTTCTTTTTTTTTTTTTGTTTACATTTCTAAAGATGTTTTAGAGTCCCTGCATGCAGATATTCTGGGCCCTTCTTTTCTGGATTGCTAATTCAATGCAAATCAGATTGGATCAGAAAAGGCAACTGAGTCATCCTGTGGATTATAGTCTTTCTCAATAGCCCAACATAGCATATGACTTTCTTGACTCTGCCTTCCCCATCATCCCCAGTTTCTACTTGAACTCTACTGTGGTTGGAATTTAGTTCATCTAACATGGGTATAATGTAGCACTGGGAATGTATCACATACTAGTGTTAATATATCATGTTACTTAATCATTACAACAACTCTTGGGAGATGTTTCAGTAAAATAATTAAAAACATGGGTTCTGGAGCTCAAGAGATCATGGGCTGAAGCTTGGGTGCAGCACTTACTAGTGAAGGCATCACTCTTATGCCTCACATTTTCTTTTTAATCTGGAAATTCAAATAATAATAGCATCACCTTAAGGGGTTTTTGTTAGAATATAATGAGATAATGTTAGCAAAGGGTTTGGTATGTAATGGATAATCAATGGCTATGAATTATATTATTGTTACACTCTGTGAAGAAGGCACGGTTACTATCCCAATTTTGCTAAGAAAATGGAAAGTTAGCAAATTGAATTTGGCCAGGATCACATACTTCATACACGGTAGACATGGGCTTCTAACTCAGACCTGTTCAAATCTGGAGTGAGTGTTATCATGACACCGGAACCTTCACTGAAATTACAAATTCAATGTCAACAGTACAGAACTCGGAGGAAAGCTAGAGGAGAACTTTCAGCTGATATCAATCAAGATCACTGGGTCTCCTTGAGAATAGCTCCTCAACCAGATGATCTTTGCTCTACTTTTAAAATATGTAATGCAGAGAAACCTTAGCACATGCTTTACTCAAGTCCATTGGCCTCAAGTCTATCAAGAATAGAAATAATGGCAAACTGCCATGAATTTGTGTGTGTGTAAAACCATCTTAGGTCTTAATAATTACCAATTTGTTTCCTAAGTGCTATCCATTAACAATTTATTCTTTTTCAAACTCTCTCTTTCGGGAAATATCAACTTCCATGTTAGGGTCATTTCACCATGAAAAGTTGAGAAGGTGAGAATAAACAAATCACAAAGCAGAGACCAACCCAAACCCAATCCAAAGAGTTGGATTTGGGAGCTTCTTATCAAGATGCCATATACATACTGATGACATCTGGATTCAGAAAGGCCCAGAGCCAGCTATGCAGTGGTAGAACCACAATCACAAGGATGAGGCTGGTAAGGCATGATTCTGAGTTCCAATTTAAGAGTGACCAAGCTGTGCATGTGCCGCTTTCAAAAGCCGAATCAGAGTCCATTTTTAGTAACATTAAAATTTCTGGAATGCTTCCCCTAATCAAATTGGAAGGAAAGAAAACAAAAACAAAAACAAAAACTTCCACTAGAAAGCTCCAGAATAGTGACAGGAGCAGATCTAAGGCCACTGGTTTAATTAAATCAATAAACATCTAGTAGTTGTCCAATATGTACTGGGAACTGGGGATTAGAAAGCTAAATAAGTTATTTTCTTTGACCTTGAGAGATTCACCACATAATGGGACAGAATGATATGTAAGCAACTAATTACAGCACAGTAGAGCAAGTCTATAATGAAGTTAACTACAAGGTGCAAACATGTAAGGAAAGATGTAGTCTCCATCCTTTCCTGAATGAAGAACAAATAAATTTGCCCTGTGCATCAAGAACCTATGGATTAATCCAAAGTCTGTCCCAGTACCAGAGTCACAAAAGAAGCATCTAATTCTCCCATCTTTCACTTTCATGATTCTCCAGTGTACAATATTAAGTAAAGTTCTTTTATAAGATATAATCATTAATAATCCCAGGATGAGCCAGATAATGTATTCACTTCCCTCATATTTTACATAAACCCAGAAGGAGTGTAATACTGTTGAAATATAAACCATTGAGGCCCACCAATGGGGGACACTTCTAGAAGTGTAGAGCATGACATATTGGACAGTGTTCTTCACATCATCTACTAGGCAGGTGCCTACTTCAACACTAAGAAGCCACTTCAGCAAAGAGGTCCCTGTGATCCTGAACCAGAGGGGCTTCTAGTGTGCCAAAGAGCTCTTGGTACACAACAGTGGAGATGACTTCCCTACCTGACATCTGCAGGGTCTTCTGTGACGAGCACATCGGTCTTGCAACTGGCCAGAGGGTTGATGGACAGCTCCACAGGCGGAACCACAAAGCTTTTGCTGACAGGAAGCCAGAGTCCTTGGCCCAAGCTGAAAGTAGACCTGCAATGTAAGAGTTTCCATTGGGGAACTCCCTGGGAAGCAGAGAGAAAACAGAAAATAGGGGCCCCTCCTTCCATCCCCACTAGGGCTATGTCTTACTTCCCACCCAACTGAGTCCCCTACATTCTCTAGTGCATGATTTTGGCCAACTCTGCCAAGACTTGAATGTCATTACTTAAATGTATTAATCATTTGGCCCATGCACTGCTTTGCATGACTAGTTTTCTTATCCTGACTACCTGTCCTGACTCCCAGTAAACAGCAGGCTCTGTGAGGACAGGGACTATTTTGGCTCTGCTTTCCCAAGCAGTCTTGAGCAAGCAGGAGTTCCGTAAGTGGCTGCTAAATCAGCAGGGGCAGTCTGCACAAAGGTGAAGAGCAAGGACCCTGAATCAGTTTGAACCAAAATCTGATTCCCAGTTCTGCCACTTAATTTGTTATATGTCTTCATCAGCTGAAGTACTGAAGTTTCATACGAGATTTCATGGAAGTGGCAGGAAGAGGTCCTGTGGCTGTAGAATATTTTCAAAGCACTGGACTAGATAATCAGTGAAGCCTCCTCCAGTTCAAATATCTGAGTTCATAAGTCTAGATGCCAGACAAATGGGAATTAGATTCTCATCAACATTTGGGCCATGATGGTACATTCATGCCAATGAGAGTTCCTCTGTACTCAGTGCAACCTGAATGAAGTTCACAGGCTCCCTTGACTTAGGATGCATGACTATGCCTCCAATCCCCAGCATCACGCCCCAACAAGATTGTCAACTCACCTGAGAATCTTTTCAGGAGCTTGTTCTCCTGTTACTAGGTCATAGCCCCTCTCAAGTGTAGTGTAAGGCCAAGGTCTGTGGAAAGAACAGAAGGAGGGAAAGAAAAGGAGATGGTGTTAGTCAGAAGCAGGTAGGATTCATATGTGGACACTGCTTAAAAGTAGCTTTATAGACAACCAAATTTCATGGGATAATTACAGTTGATCCTTAAATAATAGCCTCACTCCAGTCAAAACTCTGTGTATAACTTTTGATTCCCCCAAACCCTAACTACCAATAACCTACTGCTTTATTTTGTTGTTGTTGTTTAAAATAGGCTCCATGCTCAACATGGGGCTTGAACTCATAACTCCAAGATCAAGAATCACATGCTCTACTGACTAGGCCAGCCAGGCAGCTCAGTAATAGCCTACTGTTGACTGGAAGGTTTACTGATAACATAACCAGTTGATTCACACATATTTTATAGGTTATGTGTATTAGACGCTTTCATCTTACAATAAAGTAGGCTAGAGAAAAGAAAAGGTCATTAAGAAAATCATGAAGAAAATGCATTTACAGTTCTGTACTATATTTATTGAAAAAAAAATCTACATGTAAGTGGACCCATGCAGTTTAAATCCATGCTGTTCAAACCCATGTACTGGGTAAGACCATTTATAAGAGAACATCTCCATTTCACAGAAGGACTCGGCACTTTAAAGACCATTTGTCCATTCTGGAGTTTATGGACAAAAACCCGATTCTCTATCAGTCCAGTTAAGGAAGTGTTCATTGATTACTTACAGTGTGGGAGGGTGAGTTAAATTTGAGCCTTTGTTCTCTAGAAGATTCATTACTCATATACCTTTAATATTAAAATGTGATTCAGTGGGAAATGGGATTCACTGCCCATCAGGTTGTATACGACACAACTGTTGTAGCAAAAGAGTCCTCTTCGTGGAGAGGTTTGGGGCCTGTACTACCGTAGCAGAGGAGCAGGGGACGGCTTTCCACTGTCCCTGCCCTGATGCCCCTTGCCACTCACCCTTCACTCTGTCCCCAGTCACTGCGCACACACAGGTGTCTGTGAACCGGGTCAGGGGCATAGCCTTCATGACAGCTGCACTCTCCTGTAAGCAAAAAGAGAAAGGAGTCTTGTGAAATACCATCTGCCCCAAATAGCCTTCTCCCCTGGTTTCCTGGTTTTCTTAGGAAATAAAGTGGGCTGCCCAGTTTTGGAAAAGACCCAGGGAAAGAGCGTGTTCTGGTCTACCCACCACTATGGTTAATAAAGGGTTTATTCCCCTGTTCATCTGCTCGCTTATTCATTCAACAAGTCCTAACCACACTCCCTGCCAGGTTCTCGGCCCACACTGAGGATACAGAGATTAGACACTGAAGGGGCTCATGGCTTAATGAGGGAAACAGGAAATGACCTGGTGGCTACAAATGGAGGTCCTTATTTTCAAACATTTAAATTATGATAAAGTACATATACATTAAAAGCATCATCAGAAATTCAAATTCTTCTCTCCACTTGAATGAGCAATTCATGTTCATCCATAAGCCCCAAATTAATGTCACCTCTACCAAGATACCTTTGATTTCCCCTTCTGGAAAATTTGTGTTCATCTATCACTTCAAGAGTTCATTTTGTTTTGTTGTTATTGTTGTCTTAGTTGGTGTGCCTCTGCCCTTCCCATCTTTCCATTCTTGTTCCTTCCCTCTCCACCCATCCATCCATCTATCCACCCATCTATCCATCCACGTAACCATACATCATTTTTTATGGCCATATCTCATGCCATGTTGCATGAATGCTAGCTAGCGTTCCACACTACCTTAAGCATCTTCTCCCACTGGCCAAGCTCACTTGGGGTTTCCTTGCATAGCTTTAGAGTTCAGAATCCTGGAAGGTTTCCAAAGTTCTCTGTCCTACCCTCTTCAATTATCAATCCATTGTACACTCCTTAAAGTTGGGTTGAATAAGGTTCAATTTGTTACTGGTTTTTCCTAAGGTGTATTTGTAGAATATCCACAGATGCCTTACCAAACATAGATTCTATAAAAAAAAAAAAAAATGACTGGGAAACACTAGATGATTTGTAGAGCCAGTGGTGTGTGACTCTTCATGAAAGTGATACCTAAACAGCTTTCCCAAACCTATTTCATCTTGGGAAGCTTGCTGGGGCAACAGGCCACAAGATTAGTGTCCCATGGCCCGCAACTTGGGAAACGCTGTTGGAAACTGACCTGCCTTATCCCACTGTGTACAACAGAGTAGATCCTCAATACTGTGAGTTGAATGAATAATTAACTATCTGGGGCACCTGGGTGGCTCAGTCGGTTGAGTGTCTGACCTTGGCTCAGGTCATGATCTCACAGTTCTTGAGTTCCAGCCCCACACTGGGCTCATCACTGTCAGTGTGGAGCCTGCTTTGGATCCTCTGTCCTCCTCTCTCTCTGTCCTTTCCCCGCCTGTGGGTGTGCGCACTCTCTCTCTCTCAATAATAAATAAAACACTTAAAAATAATTATCTGTTATGGCTCATAAATTTCTAGACTATTGCTGTCAGGTTGCTTTCTTTCTCATCTTCAGGTGATCTTCTCTCTCTCTCTCTCTCTCTCTCTCTCTCTCTCTCTCTCTCTCACACACACACACACACACACACACACACACACACACACACACACACACATACCTGCAACTCTTCAATCCTACCGTGATTCTGACTGGCCTGACCTGAGTGTTTTTGAACCATGTTTCACAGAAACGTGTAATTCAAAGGAATAGACTTAGGAAACTTGCAACTTTTAGATTTGAATTTCCCTTAAACATTTGTCTTTTTAAATCTCAGTCATAGTAAAAAGTAAATAAAGGCTAAATGCTCAGATGTTGTGTAATAGAATTCAGGACACTGGAGAGCACTGTCATATTAAGTCCAGTTGCTAGGTAAACACATTTTATGCAAACCTCATTTAAAAACAACCACTACCCCCAAACCCACACAAACACCCTCTCCTGTCATCTCTGTTTCATTGAGGAGGATATTGGAGCCTGGGAGCTGTAGTGCTAACGAGGCCATGCTTTTTATGACTACAGATTTTGTGAATCAAGATTCTTTTCAACCTGTGCTACCAAAACACAACACAGCAGAGAATATACACTAGGTTAACAGGTTCTACAACTATCACCCATAACTCCTCTTTTCAAAACATTTGTACTCACCAGACAACCTCATTGTTTTCATGGGTTCACCAAAAATATTATGCATTTGACCTTATACAAACCATTCCAAGCATTAAAAAAAAAACTCTCTAATTTGTTTTATACATTATAATGCTGCTTAATCTTTGTAACCCCGGCATTCACAAGTATTTGGCAAACAGCCTGCGCTTGATAAATGTTGGCTGAGCCAAAATGGTAGTGAGACAGAATAAGAAGTGATGGATGGGTAAGAGGTACTATTACAAATATTTAGAATGGAGATCACCAAAAGGCAGAAGAAAGAGGGAGACAGAGAGAGAGAGAGAGAGCTCTACCTTTCCCCTTCTCTGGATACCTGGTAAATAGGAGGGGGCTGCTCGCAGGCAGGAACGTTCTCTGTAACTCTCTTCTCCAACAGCAAGTTCAAGTGCTCCAACAAATGTGTGTGCTGTAGGTGTGTGCAAGCTAATGAGCTGATTGTTGCCAGAGGTAAGGAAAATGGAAGAAGAGGGAGGAGATCCTTGAGATTTCGGTGAGAATAATTTACCAAAAAGGGGAGGGGTAGGAGTCACTAATGATGTGTTAAAATGCTACAGTCCTGTCATGAAATATTCATCACTTTAAATATGCCTAATATTAAATATTAAAAGTCCTGGCGTTTGTCCTCGAGACTCCCAGGGCTGATTTATGATCTGCCGCAACCACAGACCTCATGATTTGTAATGGAAGAGGTAAACAGTTACCTCTGGTGGAGGGACAGGAAGTCAGGCTGGGGCAGGCAAGAAGGGCTGAGAAAGGAGGGCCTTTCTTTTTGAGGGAAAGGGCACTGCTCAGTCAGGTTCCTGTTTCTCCGATCTGTGACTCTGCAGGAAAGGGCACAGGTTACGGTCCCCCTTTCCCTCTTGTTGGGAATATTGAGAGAATGAGAGATCTATACTGAGGAAGGTTACTGCTATATTTTGTGTTTCTTTCTTGCATGCTTACCAGGCAAGTTTCCCCGTTCTCAGAACAGATCATTAATTACTGACTTGCATTATACAACAAATATGTATTTTGCAAATGAGAGGCGAGGCATCCACTCTGGAGGCCCTGAAAAGGTTACCCGGAGGGGCACCTTGGTGGCTCAGTGGGTTAAGTGTCTGATTTAAGCTCAGGTCATAATCTCACAGTTCGTGAGTTTGAGCCCCGCATTGAGTTCTCTGCTGTCGGCAGAGAACCTGCTTCAGATTCTCTGTCCCCCTCTCTCTCTACCCCTCCCCCACTCATTCTTTAAACAAACTAACTTACTGGAAAAAAAAGAAAAAAAGTTACCTGGAGAATAGTTAGTGAGGCAGGGGAGGAATGATGGCTAGAGGCAAACAGACCTGGGTTCTAATCCTCACACTCTCTCTCCCTGGATGGGTCTCAGTTTTCCCATTAATAGAATGGGAAATGACCGTAAGGTCAACTCCACAGAGCTGACCGTGAGAGTAAATTGAAGTAGTGGAAAGTAAGGCTCATGGCTCAGGCAGACAAACAGTCCTCCATAAATTTCTTCCTCTTTCCCTTCCGTTCCAAACCAGCACTCTGTTCTGATATATGCTGGCACATAACTTTAGGAAGACTGCGTAAGTAATTTCCTTCTTCCTGGACCTTAGCTTCCCCATCTGCAAAATGGAAACCTGGAGTAGACGTCCATCAATTCTGAGTGCCAATGAGAGTCAGTCATTTACACAGCCTTTCTGAATCCTGAAACTCTGTTTTCCTGACACTGCTTCAGCCTTAGCTGTGATCACTCTTAGCGACTGGGCTAGGTGTCTCCAGTAAGATTTCCATCAATGCCCTGGCTATTGACTTTATTGACTCCAATTTCCTATTTTGCTGGCTCAGCCAACTCTCCACTATTTGCAACCAAGCACTTCCTTCTTGCAAGATGCAAGCTTCTGATAGCCAGACCTAGGGATTAACCCCTTCTTCGGATGAGTCCTTTCTGCAACCCTGCCTCTGCATACCCAGAGCAGCCGGGTGGTCAGAACAGCTCTCCAGGGATCCAGGTTTACATGATCTATGATCACCCATGCTACCTTACTCCTATCACTACAGAAGCTCCTTGAATGAGGAGGCTGCAGCCATCTTGCTCACTGTTGCATCCGCACCCACTGCACTGCCTGGTGCATAAATAAATGAGAGGGCACATCTCACAATAGTAACATCTATGCCAATGGGATAAAGAAACCATTTTTCTTAAATTTGCCTGTTTTCTCCACTAAGCTGGGCACTTCTTAACTGCAGAAATCTTTCTGTAACCATCTCCATATGCTAGCAATTAGTGTCATGCCTGATGACGAGTAGGCAGCTCATTTGCTGAATGAATGAATGAATGAATGAATGAATGGAGAAATACATTGCAGTTTTCATGAATTCAGGCTGAGTTCATTTAGAATAATGATGGCTCTGCCGAAGACTAGAAGAAACTTCCTTATATGCAGGACAGGTATTTGCCAAGGAAATGGAAAGTATAAACATGAGTGTTGATGAAATGTCTAAAATAGAATTCTATTTCACATCAGAGCAGAAACAGCTCTTAAAGATCAGCTGGGTCACAGCTTCTCAGCTTCATTTTTCCAAGGAACAAATGCAATTTCAGAGAGTGAAGACATTTGGCCAAATCACTGGACTAGGTTTGGGGGAGTCAGGATTAGAACCCAGGGCTCCTGGCCACTACTGTAGCATCCTTCCTGCTGCATGGGTGATCTCAATGCTTCCATATACCTGGCAACACTTGCTAGATTTTTTTTTCCTTGGTATTTTCCTGCCATCTCTGAATTGCCTACAATGAGAATCTATAACACAGACAAGGATTTTTTTAAATATATTTTTTAAATGTTTATTACTTATTTTGAGAGACAGAGGAAGAGAAAGAATGGGAGTGGGAGGAGGGGCA